TTTCGAGCTATGCCACTGTGGGCAAAAAAACCATGTATTATTTCTTGAGCTCTTCTCCTACTCTATGAAATGGGGATGCTGTCATCTCCCTCAGTGTTGCTGTGAGGTTATGCTTAGAAAGCAACAAGGCAGCTGTTAAGCTATAATTCTTAGTGTTAACAATGGTATCACTGATAGTAATGAATTTTTGTTAACAGTTCCTAGTGAGGGAGTTCAATAGAAGTCAACTCCAAAAGCTGCTTGTTTCTGGGGGTGCTGAATAAAAACCACAAGCTCCTTGACTTGCCACAGTGACGGTGCCCCTGTGCCCCGAGACCCTGCAGGGCGACCTCCCTCAGTGGCCGGCCCATAAGTGGAGCTGCAGCCCTATGCTGCCTTTCACAGCATGCAGACATGAACACAGAGACAAACTGTGTGTGAAGTAAATGCTATTTGGGGGGGAATATTAAGTTTTAGTGGGTATAAACCAATGTAGCCAACAAAAAAGTTCCTATTACAACAAAACTCTCCAACAAAAGAGTTCCTGGAGCTATCATGAGTGGCGACCATGAGCATATGGATAATAGCATTTGCCTGCACCTATGAAGTTACGTAAAGTTTACATGTGATGGGTGTAAACTGCTTGCTTCCTAGCACCTAGTAAGTTTGATATAAATGTTTCACATTTGCAAACATGGGTTTTTGTTTTGGGCTTGGTGGCTGGTATTCCACACTCTAAAACATGTCTGTTCTGGTACAAAAGGAAAAATCACGTTTATTTTACAAGGCAGTATTTTCCTAAAGTGTTATACATAAAGAAAAGCTGAGCTGTCAGTAGGAAAACAATATAATTTTAGGAAATTACAGAAGAATCAACATTGTGCTTAAAACTTTAAAATAGTTTTTTTTTAAAAAAATGGCACAGTAAGTGAATATTGCAAGGTATGAACAGCCTTAAAAAGTGATGTGAACACAATGGTATGGAAGCTCAAGATTAAAACCGCTAGTGATGAGTCACTGTTAGATGTTTCCAGGCTAAGAGAGCACTGCTTCAATCTTAATAGAAAAAAAGAACTCGGCTCTAACTGAAACAGGGCCTTTTCGTAATAAAGCCAACTCTTAATTATTCATAGTAATGAAAGGCGCACTGACAGATTTTTAAATGATGAATAATCCCCAAATTAATTTTGAGATGTGCCCTTGTTTTTAATTTTTGGATGTGAGAAAGATATCCCCGGAACTCACAGGACTGATAAGTGGAACTCCCACTTGCCTTCTCTTCTCTTCTTCCTCCTCAATGGGATAAGACAGAACCATATAGTACTAAATACCTAAACAGAGCTGGCCGCCTTTATTCTGGCTCACACCTCCTTCGGAGAAGGGGACAGGGAAGAAAACTGTCTTCCTCATGTAAAAAAGTAAAGTGTAATTACAAAATTTTGCAAATGAGATGTGCAATAATTAAGAGCCTACTATAAATACCATAACTTGTGCTTTTTTTCCTTGCCTTGTAGTATCTATACTGGCAAACTTATCTAGATATTTTGACAGCTTTCTAAATTAGCCAGATGCATCCTTTTACCCCAGTAGAGAATAAAGTTGCATGAAAGAAGTTTGTTATGATCAGTCCCAAAAGAACTGCAATCTTTCAAATAGATCAAGAAGTGGAGGTGAAGAAATAAAACCACTCCCAAGATCAAAACCAAAAAGTATTTTAGGAAAAAAACTGTGTGGTTTTGTTCTGCTCTTCGTGGTTTTAGTTTTATTTTTTATTGTATTACCTTGAACTATAAGCCTTCCCCTTCCAAGAAAGCAACTGTTGTTCTTCAAGGTTGCCCTCAAATTCTTATCTTAAAAATTAAAAGGTAAATAGTACATAGTGTTGATAATAAAGCCGTATGTTATAATGTATCAAATACTTATGACCGCAAAGCATTTTAAGTGCTTTGTCATTTCTCAGAAAAGTTCTGGGTATATTTGAAACTTAAAAATTCTAAAATCTTGGTAGGATCTAAATTCCATGTTTAGTAGAATTAAGCTTCTACCTAACAGTTTTATGCCAACTTTCCAAAAGTAGGAATAGTGCCAAGTGTCCACAAAAGCTAAGAAAGCAGTTTCTTCATCCACACAGCCCAACCCTTGCTCCAGTGAGCATACTGCTAGGTCCAAAGTATAAAGCTTTCCTGTCTGTCAATGCAAGTGTTAATCACAGGCTACTTAAATGACTGTGTTCAATGTCTATAGTGCAGCTGCAATCTAAACATTTTCTAAAGTGTCTATCAATATGCATATACAAATCAGCAGTGCAATGTCAGCATTACAGAGGAATTCACATAATATAGAACAGAATAGGCCTAGAATTAAAATTGGAAATACACATTTTTATATCCTTATCAGTTGATTTTGGAATGCAAGCATTAAGAAACAATTCTAGTTCAATCTTGTATTTCAGAGAATCATTAACTGTGGTAAGACCAAAAAAAAAAAAAATTCTTACTTGTGCTTATTTAGAAAAGGCCATTTTGAGATCCAGGAGTATATATTTACAATACAAGGGAACATCTCCAATTCTATACAATAGACAGTAGTCAGTGAAGCTTACTGAGGTTTTAATTATAAAGAGATTGTGCAAATATTTAAAGTGATTATCAACTATTATTAAATCCAAAAATTCCATTAAAATTGTGGCTGAGTGGCAGTTCAGGAGTTTAAAAAACAGGAACCTAGTCTAAAGTCATAGACATAATTGATAAAGGGGCCCAACCCTGACACTTAGCCAAGCTTCAGAAATGTGCCCCTGTGACCATGTATTTCCATGGCTTTGGAAACCTGGTGGTTGACTCTAATAGTTTAAAGGGTAGAAATGTGGGCCCATAATAGATCACTGATGGGAGTATTATAAAGAAAGAAGACACCCCCTCCCCAACCCTACCCTCATTTGATGAGTTCACCCATAGGGTAAATCTAGACAGGGCCCTGGTGTTGCTGCTACAGCCCTGAGTACACAATGAGTGATGGCACCGTGGTGGCTTGCAGACGTGGCTTCCATGCCTGCCTGCAGCTGGCCACTCACGGGAGGCACTGAGAACCTCAGGCAGGGCTCATCAGATGTCCCCAACCACCTAGGTCATTCCAGGGCAGGGGACGCCCCTCAGGCCCACATCTGCCTACACCTGCCCACACCTGCCCTCTCCTTTGTCTTATGGTTCCTGAAGCTCCTCTTACCGATTTCTTGGTTTGACTTGTTGAGTCTTTAAATTTCAATAGATAAAAACTTTATGCTGCATTCTCATCTAGCATAGAGAGTTTCAATAAACACCATCTGCAAAGGAAAATGTCTACTCTGCCTTCTATACCCTATGGATGTTTGGCCACCTAAACCTAACAAAAAGTTCTAACAAATGACTTGAATGACATGTACCACTAGGAAAGCAAATTCTCCTTGTGTTGTTTGTGAAGGATGCCTACCTAGTGGAGGCTTTAGGGAAAAACACAACAGGCCTCTTATTTCTTAAAATGCAAACAAACATGACATAGAAGACGTGTCACAATGCTGACAGGGCACAAGATAAATGCCAAACAGCATGCGCAGGGACAGTCAGAAGTACTTTTCTACCAACTCTGAAGGTTCTCATTTCATTTGGCCATATTTAAATTTTCCTCGATTAACTATGCCTCCTGTATAGAAGATTTGAAGAAACGGCAGATAACCAACTCACATGAGAATACGTGGTATAAATGGAGAGTTAAGAGAATTCTGAAGAGAGCTAAGTTAAGAATTATTCACTCTTGTGCATGTGAGAAAAGAGAACATATACAATAGACCATGGATATTAGTAAAGTCAATGAATATTATGCAAAATATTTTGTTAGTGAACTATTTCAACTGCTTTTGTATTTCCATAAAAAATCCATGCATCATACTGAATTCTAATCCATTTCTCACCCAAGCCATTCTAATGCTTCATACAACCAAATGAAGCAGAATTAATCAAACCTATTAGATTCATTCCTAATCCCTACAGGACTTCTGTCTTTAGCATTTCCATGCTAACTAAAACTATTGGTTTCTTTTTCCTGTAAAATGTTAGATGTGGCTGTCTCCTAAATACAATACCTATATAACTTCCTAAAAGTTTTCCCCAGATTTGAAGAATAAAGGAAAGCAGGGACATACTGGGGAACTCACACAAGGGCCCAACTCAAATGCTGTAAGATTATCCCCAGCCAGCCCAAACCAAGGACATGTCTCCTTCCCCTAGGCTCCCACAGCATTCTGGGCTGTTAGCTGCAGGTATCATATCCCCTATTGGACTATGAGTCCCTTCATGGTGGGAATCAGGTCTTAGCTGTTCTGCATCCCCATAGCACCCTGCAAAATGCAGGTGCTCAGCTAAAGCTGGATGGATCATGAAACGGAGGAGGTCCACTCTTATGTGAAGGTCTAGATCAGCCCCAGTCATGGAGTGTTAGACACTGGCCACAACTGGGAGCTGTGCTGGCTCTTCCAGTGACCTCCCAGAAGTAAGCCAAGGCAGCTCTGGTCAGACCAAGTGCAGATGGGGAGCAGGGGGGGGAACTAGAAGGAATGGCATCTATCAGAGCACATTGTGTTCTTCTCAAGTAAGCTGCTTCTCACATGGGACTAGCAGGAGAGGGATGCCTATGAGCATGCCGAAACGAATGCCGAGAGTCTGTGTGTGAAGGACGAGCTATTTAGAAATACTGTCTCCTTCACTCTGGGTAGCTCCCCAATCTGATCCATGACATTCTGTGATCATCACTTCATTGCTTTCAAAGTTCCCAGTGAAATTAAGGCTGGGTCACAATTCATGACACCAGATGCTACATAGAAAGTAAGTCAAGATACAAAAAAAAAAAAAACAAAAAACAAAAAACTATAATAAAAAGAATGTCTTAGTTATAAGACTATTTAAGAGTGACGCTAATCAGCAGACCACTGAAGTGCTATAGTTGTTAAAGAGGGGTAGAAAATATAAACAGCATTGGAAAAAAGGATCCATCAGACAAAAGTATAAAAGCTCAGCATGGATCAGAGGCTGCAACTTTCTGCCTGGACTCTCACACGGTGGTTTCTATTGTTTCAATCACTTCCAGATCAGACTGTGAGGGGGAGAGAAGGGTGCACTCGTCCGGTTCCCAGCTGCTCTCTGGACTGTAATCTTCCTCTGAACTCAGTTCTGCTCCTTCTTCTGTGTCCTCATCACACGATTCCACATAGTGAGCCCCAATTGCATTGATCCCAGAATCCTCAGAACTTGAGGGAGAAGAGCAGTGATCTATTTTTGGTGTATTGCTCTCTTTTGAAATTAAGGCATCATGTGCAGAGACCTCCTCAGGGTTCATTTTGTGAGAATGTGGCGCTGGCTGCTTCTGCACGTAACACATCTTCCCATTGATACATTTAACCTGGTAGTTGTCAATAAAGAGGTCTGAAATCATACAGTACCTTGGTGAGTCAGGGGGGAGGGGAGGCTGGAAGACAGATGCAAATTTCAAAAAATGTTCAGTGAGTGAGACTGAGATCTGAATGGTGTTTGTGGGCTCCCGAGGTCTAGCAGGAATCTCAGTGCTTGGAAGCTGTTCCACAGGGGTCATAGGCTGATAAACATATTTGCCTGCAGAGGCACAAAAAGGACAGTTAAGCTCTGCACGTATTATACAAATTATATTAATGTACCACACAGTTTCCTTCTGAGGACTCAGAATGTTTCAAAAAATATTTCAGTAACACCTCAAAAGAAACTAGTAATAAAATCATTCAACACTAATATCAATTAAAAATAGAGCATGGCATACAATAGTTTTCATCTAAAACACTCAATATACTTTCCAAATCTTAATTTATATTTGAGTATTTCTAATGCCTCTGAAATAGGTAGATGGATACTATAATTCTTGTTTTGCAGACAACTTAAAGCAATTTACTCATCAGACTGGAACAAAGAATGTCCATTATACAGTATAGTGACTATACAAGTTGTAAAACAGTACAATATACTTTATAATCCTAGTTTTATCTTTAATAATATGTTAATACGTTTCAAAACTGAAAGAACACATACGTATTATCAGAATTATGGAACACTTTTACTTTCTAGAGTTCTATGTTTTAATGAGAATATACATATACTTTTATTTGTTTAAATAGGGTATAGCTTATAGGATTGTCCTCGATGACTGGAATAAGGTTCAGAGTATAAAATTATTTCTGTCAAGACCCAAAGCTCATCAGTGGCCTAAACAGGAGGTATTCTCCATGATACCAGATTCACTGGCACTAAACAACCTAAGCCAAACAGATGCAAAGGCGCAGGCAGATACGGGGTAAACTGCTGGATACTTGGAGGAAACCAAGAATCTTATCTCCAAATCGTCTCTGCCCTGAGCCCTCAGCTGTTTCTCATATAGTTTACACAGAGGTAAAACCTAAAAGTATCTGGTCCTAATGTGTCCCTTTCCTCATTCTTTTTACTTCCTTCAGCATTTCGCAAGGCCTCCCATGTATCAAGTGCTAAGGAAATACACTTGAAATACCCAGGCTGGCTGGATGTGGTGGCTCATGCCTGTAATCCTAGCACTCTGGGAGGCTGAAGCAGGTGGATACCTGAGCTCAGGAGTTTAAGACCAGCCTGAGCAAGAGCAAGACCTCATCTCTAAAAACAGCCAGGCATTGTAATGGGTGCCTATAGTTCTAGCTACTTGGAAGGCTAAGGCAAGAGGATCCCTTGAGACCAAGAATTTGAAGTTGATGTGAATTATGACACCACGGCAGTCTACTGAGGGTGACAAAGTGAGACTTTGGTTAATTTTTTTTTTACCCAATCTGTAAGCCTAAAATGATTTCCAAATAAAACACTGACAGAGGGGAGAGCCCTGAAATACTAAGAGACAATAGCCACAATTCTGGGCATCATCTTGGATTTTTCTTAATTTAGTCCATGTTGTATCTTCACATAATTATGACAGAGCCTTTCAATCTCAGTACTACTGGCACTGTGGACCAGATAACTCTTTAAGGTGGTGATGGGGGGAGGCTGTGCTATGCACTGTAAATGTTTAGCAGCAACCCCAGCCTCTACCCACTAGATGACAGTATCAGCTCTGATCCCAAGTTAAACAATCAAAAATGTGTCCAGGCAAGGGTATCTGAAGTCAAATTGCACCGAACCAGCACTTGGAATGGCTGCAGTTCCATTTTCAATTTCACGATGTTTTTCTTGGCAAAGAACACACTACATCAGCGCCAACTACAATACATTAGCAAACAATGGCAAGGGCAAACCACCAGAAATGAACACCTGATTTTCATGATTAATACAGTAATGCTGTATTAGCTAGTGGAGCCACTTTCTGTATTGCTGTGTGGACATATGCAGTGACACAAATTGGAATAGAATGGAACCTGTCCCCTGTTGGCACACTCACCACAAAGGAATGGAGAGCTCAGTAATCATCCCAGGTGGTGTAATACTGAATTGTTTCAGAACCAACTCATAATTGATACCAAGTTAAAGCACTGTGTACCCATTAAAATATGGCATTATTGAAATAAAGTACATTTGAAACCAAAAAAATGTGCCTAGACATTATCAAATACCCCTCAAGGGGCAAAATCAGTCCTGTCAAAAACTACCGATTTATAGCCTTGTGAGCACCTTCTGCTGGCAAATCACTCATTGTGGGTGGAACTTGCTCCGTTTTATTTCTTGGTCAGATTGAAAATCCTTCTAGTACAGGAATCACACCTGTAAGGAAAGCTATCTCAGGTTTTTTAATTTAATGAAGCCATGGAAGAATAGCAATTTCAGGCAGAATTATAAGCAGTAATTATACCACAAATCATGCAACATCAGTGATAGAGTAAGATCAAACCTGCTTTTATTTTTTATTAGTTTCTCGATTTCTGTACATAGCTTAGATACCACAATTTCTTTTTTTCTTTTTTTTTTTTTTATTGACCACAATTTCTTTGTAACTAAATTACTCTGAAAATATCTTCAGTTTCATCCTGGGGAACCACATGGAAAATATACACTTAAGGTTGTTAAGCTTTTGGGTTCCCAAGTCTGCTTCCAAGCCTAGACATATATAGTGCAAACTCTATGGTCCAATTAAAAATACAAGTTAGAAGAACCCACCAATACCTGCCTGGGGAGCTATGTTTAAGATGTATCAGGTATCTTCATTTCCCTGTGTCTATAAAAGAAGGCATTGCTACTTGTAAGGCAGAGTTGAAATGAGGTCAGATCTAACAACTGGCATGCTGGACCTCTGCCTCTAAGCATTGTGGATGGACGTTATCAGCTTAACGACCAACGGAGGCTAAGCTTCAAGCTTCATTCCAAATCCTCTAGCCCTGTGATTAGAGAAATGTGTGTCTGGGCACAGAACAAAGAAGGGACTTAGAGAACTTGGGGAATTACCCTCTTCTGTTTACAAAGTGGTAAACAAAACATCTGGAATGAAAGTTTGGTCTATTCGTGGATAGTGGTTACTGAACTCAAGAGGCTATAGACAGCAAGTACTCAAGAAAGGCTTGTTGCAGAGTGCTGATTAAGTTCATTCCAGCCTAAATGACCTCTAGTTTGGTTACTCACTTTTTATAGCTATAGGAGGATGTTGGCAGTTGTTCCTTGCCTCCACGAAGCATCCTCAGACCCAGCAGGAACAAGGCTATATTTAGCCCAAAGATGGAGAAAAGAAGTAAAGCCTGACTTCGGGACTCTCCAACCTCTCTTTCTGATCCCAATTGAACCTTCCTTGTCCCATCTTTTATTCCCTTCCCCTCCTTTGTGCTTCTTGATTTCTTTGCTTTCTCTTATCCCCTCCTTTTCTTTCTCTGGTCCCCTCTCCTCCAAAGCTCAATTTTTCTTTCTTGAAGTGTACTTGGATTGAACATCTGTGCCCTCCACATTCGTATGTTGAAGCCCTAATCCCCAGCGTCATGGTATTTGGAGGTAGGACCTTTGAAAAGTAATAAGATTTCGAGGAGGCCTTGAGGTTGGGGCTCCATGATGGGTTTATTGCTCTTACGATAAGAGAAAGAGCCCAGTGCCCCCTCTCTCTCTTGCATGTGAGGGTATAGATAGCATCTGCAAACCAAAACACATGCCTTCACTAAACATAAAATCTGCTTTGATCTTGCAATTCCCAGCTTCTCAATTGTTAGAAATAAATGTTTGTTATTTACACTACCCAGCCTATGGTATTTTATTATAGCAGTCTGAACTGACCAAGACATGTAGTACAAGAAAAAGAAATGCAGGCCAGGCACAATAACACCAGCACATGGGAGGTCAAGGCAAGATCACTTGCAGCCGAGAGTTGAAGACAGACTGGGTAACATAGCAAGACCCTATCTCTAAAAAAAAAGAAAGAGGAATGCATGTGGAGAGGGACATGTGTACTGCATTCCAGATTCCACTTCCTTTCACGGTACACCTATTAAGTGTATACAGCCCATCATCTGCTGAAGATACAGATGCAAAGCAGAGGCAGAAAGGAAAAACTAGGAAAGACGGCCACATGGACAATTCAGTAACTGTCTTTCAAATATCAGTTATTACATAATAAATCAAATTATTTGACTTGCTTATAAACACAAATAATTTTTTAACTCACATCAAGGATTTAATTTTGTAAAGAGCCCAGAGGCATTGGTGCTTTGCTCTAATCGCCAATAAATTTTATCCCTGTGGTATATCATGCTGAGAGTCCATGCTCACAATGATAACCCTGAAGTGCTGCAAGATCCTGAATTACAGAGAGTATTACATTTATTCTACTGCTCTCACTAAGAGAATAAAATGAACTAACATACTTCTTCAAAGGCAAAAATTGAAACAAAGGGGTTTCTGCCCATTTAGCCAGAACATTTAATAATCTCCATACTCTTTTCTCTAAACAATCTTCTTAATTAAGGGCTTACTGTAAAGAATAAATGAATGAGAAGTTTTAAAACTTAAACTTCTAAAAGGAAATCATACTCTGAATCAGGGACTGGAGAAAATCAGAAAGAGACTTTTTTAAAAAGGACATAGATACTATTTGGTCCAGGCAATTCCATTTCTGGGTATGTACCTAAAAGAACTGAAAGCAGGTTCTCAAAGAGATCCACATTTGTAGCAGCTGCATTCACAATAGCCAAAAGGTGGAAGTGACCAGGTATCCACTGATGGGTGAACAGATGAACAAGAGGTGGTATCTAAATAAAATGCAATTATTATTCAGCCTTTAACAGGAAATTCTGGCCTATGCTCAGCATGGATGAACGTTAAGGACATTACGCTAAGCCAGTCAGAAGACAGATACTTATGATTCCACTTATTTGATGTACCTAGAGTAGTCAAATTTATAGAGACAGAAGGTAGACGGGCATCTTCCAGGAGCTGGGGCTTAAGGGGAATGGGGAGAGTCTAATGGATAGAGTTAAGTTATAGAAGATAAAGAGCGGTGGAGATGGATGGTAGTGATGGTTATACAATGTTTTTTAATCCATTTAGCCAGCCTATGTCTTTTGAGTGGGCCATTCAAACTGTTAACACTGAATGACAGAATTGACATGTGGAATGCTGCTCTGTTGTGTTGGGTAGGTTGTACCTTACTGCAT